ACGGGCCGTGAGGAAGAGGGCTGGGGACCGCAGCACCGGGGGCTTGTTCGCCTCTGATGCTCCTAGACAGAAAAAAGGAAGACGAGGTCAAGAAACCTGATACCCCACTTTCAGGCCCCCCGAGGAGTGCGTCCCACGAGGGCGTCTCCAGAGAGACGCGGTGAAGCCACACTCGTAGCAAACTTGAAACAGAAACTCCAGCTGTCATTTACTGTTGTTTCCATTTCTGTGACAAGTTTCTACCTTGATTCCAAAGAGAAATAAAAATAACGCCAACAATGAAGTCCTGACCCAGATCAGGTTATGCCCACCTCTCCTGTTTTCCCTCAGACTCTGGTGTGTGTGTGTGTGTCGTTTCCAAAATGAAGTTCAGAACAACCTTTCAGGGTCAGGACGAACGAGGCACCTCGCTGCCCAGGGCCTGGGCGCCCCCCCACCCGCGGGCTCACCTCCGACGCGTCCTCCCCAGGAGCTCGGCCCCGCCAACTCCGCGGCTTCGGCATCTGAGCCGCAGCTCCTCCGTGACAAAGCCACAGCCTGGACCTGCCCAAAGCTCCTTCTGTCCGGTGATCTCAGATCCCGTGTGGAACCACTGTCCCCTCCACCTCCTGACTGTGACTTGACGTCCCCGGGAGCAGCAGTCCCAGCAAACACCCCGTCTCAGAGCAGGGCCGGCCGGCACCGCCCGAGCCCCAGGCCTACACCGGTCCACACGGGCACATTTCCCGCGCACACACCCCGGTAGGCGGGGCTGCTGTGCAAGTTCTCGTGTCTTTGAGGCGGCGGTCCGCGTTCACGCGGCCACTGATGGGGCATGGGTCTTCGCGGACACCTCCACACAGACCAACCGCTCAAGTGTCTGACGGAGAAGAACAGCATTTACCGTCTTAGATGTGCATGCTATTCATCGGTGGGATCGCAAGCACCTTTACAGATATAAAAGCGGTGTACAGCCTGCGCTTGGCTTTCTTCGACTGCATCAATCTCCAGGGTTGTGTGCAGTCAACATACAGCCAACACTGGGTGCTGCCTCACTGTTCGCTGAAGCACCTCCTGTGCTCAGACACGAGTGATTTCATCACAGATCCAGAAGGCAGGTCACATCTAAATGCCTTTAGGCTCTGCAGCCACCGGGTCAGCTACGACAAAGCCCCAAGGACGGTGTGGCAGTCATGTGTGATGACCGGCCCTGGGCTCCTCGCTCCGGTGCCACACTTCAGTTCAGAGGGTGTTGTCTCCTGTGACCAGGGGTGAGGTCACCCTCCGGTTCTGCACTGTCTCTGGCCCCCTTTGCCTCAACCTTGTCCTGCCCTCCCAGAAACATCCCAGGCCCGGCCTGCTCCGCCCTGCACCGTCCAACCCCCACTCCCGCAGACTCGCTCACACCGGCACGCTCTGCCCTCCCTCCTAAGTGCCAGATCCGTGTCTGTCTAACAACACAGATGTGGCAAGTGGTTTGATCTCACTGAGACAGTTACACCGCGGATAAGAACAAATGTTCCAAAGGTGTGTGGACCAGCTGCATCCAAGGTAAAAACAGTGACCCATCTGCGCCCACTCGTCTCGTCCCTCCCCGCCTCGTGACTGCCGAGTCCCTCGGGCATCCCAGCCGCCGTGTCCCAGCAGCAACTTCCTGGCCGCCGCCAGACCCAGAGGGTGTGTCAGAGGATGCAGTGACGATGGTCCTGCGGTCCTCCTGGCACGGACCTTGCCACCTGCTGGGTCCTCACTGCTTCACGCCACTGCCACCCAAGTGCCCTGTCCCCACAGCACCTGCCTCCTGCACCGAACCGTGACTCTAAACGTCACGACCTTCCAACCCTCCTTCCCCGCCTCCCCACACAGCTGGGAGCCTCTGCCGGGTGCGGCAGGATGCAGCTCAGGTCCAGGCCGCGCCCGTGCCCCAGCCCCGCACCCACCTGGCCGCAGGTACAGGTCCGAGGGGGCCGTGGCCAGGCGCTCCCGCTCCTTCTCCCGCTCGGCACTTGCCGCCGCAGCAAGGTGTGTCGAGTGTCCTGTAAAACACAGGCCTGCGACTTGAGGACAGAACGTCCACTGGCAGGTCCAGCAAACAATTTTTTAATTCTTAAGGGACTGAAAGTTTTTCAGCAAGTTTCACATTTGAGGTGAAGGAGGTTTGCTGTATTTAGAGTCTCAGGTGGAAAGCGGAGACAACACAAACTCTAGGGAATTTCTGGAGCACCTAGGGACAGATGGCATGCAGGAATGACTACTGAATACTCAAGAAAATGTGCAGACTGAATGGGGAAAAAGTACCCTCAAAGGCTGTGCTGTGAACGCACGAGTGTGACCGCAGGCTCTCACCTGGAGACATGGATGCCGAGTTGTACGGCCTGGGGGGGAAGGTGATCTGGGTACCGGGGATGTATGTGATTCTGTCCATGGGAGGCGTACTTGTTCCCCCTGGATGAGGCACTAAAATTGCTGGAGGCATGTTGGTCAGGTCAATGATTCCTGGTCCAAAGAAATACAACACGGTTGTGTCGGGTTCGAGCGTCAGTCTACGGATGCAGAGCTACGCGTGCTTTTCATTCTGCTTCTCTCTGAAACCCAGTGATTACTTGCAGAGAGTATAAACCAAGCTGTTTAAGGGCATCACGGCTCTGTAAGAGCTTCTGTAATCTAGAGAAGGGCACAAAATGCTGTGCCCACACCAGCAGCCTAGCGCAGGGACAGACCGAAGAGGGGGGGCGGGCGACTGGTAAAACTGTGATTTCAGACCCGAGCACGCTCGTCTGGGTCCCTCACAGACAGAAGGGATGGTCCGCTTCTCCTCCCCTTACTCCTTCCCCAGGCTCCACCTGAGCTGTGCAGACACACACCCCTGGCGGCCGGGTACGGGAGGCCCAGCTGCTGCTCCCGCGGGGAGAGCCCTCTGGCCACATCGGGGCGCAGGTTCACTTGCATCTGCTGCGAGGTGATGTAGTCGTTCAGGATGGTCTGCCTCGTGTTCTCCATCGCATACAGCTGGTACTGGCTCGGGTAGCCGGGAGTGGGCGACAGCTGTCTCTGAAACAGGTACGCGGCAGCTGCTGGGGGAAAGGAGAGAGAACTGCCCTTAGCTTGGTCTGGGTGGGACTCCTCTGCCCAACGTCACCCGCAGAGTCTGGAATAAGCGCCTGCTGAGCTCACGTGTGGGGTCAGTTCTGCTTAGACCCGACACATCAGCGTTATGACAGGACCACTGATGTCAGGTGCCATGGACGGCGGCGGACACGCTGGACAGAGTGGGAGCACTCAGCTTTTTACCACCAGAACAGGAGCTAAAACAATTCTCAAGTAGTTCCACTTTCAGTCTTTGCCCTGTAACTATTAGATTTCCCACCTGAAGTCTCCAAGAGCTGTGTCTGAAGTTAAAATTGTGTTTTGTAGCGTTGATCATCTCCTACAACTAAGGGGAAACACACGTGAAAATACTTTGTAACGAACAGTCTTCACCCTTCTGATGAGTGCACGTGCTCAGGGCAGAGACTAGTCTGCAAAGGGCCAGGTGCGAAGTATTTTCAGCTCTGGTCTCTGTCACACCTACTGCACTGTCATCACAGCGTGAAACAAAAAATGTAAAGGAATGGGTGGGGCTGCGTTCTGATAAAACTTCATTTGCACAGACAGGCAGCAGCAGGGTCTGGCCCGCAGGCCGCAGGTCAGCACCTCTGGGTTGGCACAGGACCCAGATGCCAGGAAGGGCGGGGGTGGGAAGAGGGCAGAAGCTAACATACACTGTGAGCTCACACAGCGCGGTATGTCAATTACAGCTCAACAGAACTGGAAGGAGAAAAAGCAGACTGTGACACCTCTATCCTTAGAACACTCACACTCCAGCTCCAACCCAAAGGTGACAAACCAGTGAAACTGCTCTAAAGGACGGTGATAAACACTAAGTCAAAGTGCAAACATTCTGAGAGCGTGAGGGACGTGTTCTCCCTCGAAGGACATGTGACGAGCTTTCTGGAGTGTCTGCTTCCCCTCGTCTGGGACTCCCAGCTAAGTCTGCCGGCTGACGGTGTGGGGCTTCCACCTCAGTCCTGGGAGACAGTCCCTGAAGAGCCAGGGGTGTGTCTGAGCCTCAGCGCTCTCAAGTGACAGGCAGCTTGATGGCGCTGACACCCAGACAGCCCAGCCAACCCACCAGCCCTGTGCCCAGTGCAGACTGCCCACCCGCCAAGGCCACCGCCAGTGGGGTCTGTTCGGAAGTTCCTTCCTGTACTTGCTGCTGTAATTGTGTAACTTAGGGAAGGAATCTGTAAATCAGAGAAGCAGCAAAAGGGTGGTCTCTCTGGAAGCTCGGCTGACTGCTTTGGAAAGAAAGACTCAGTGCAACAGCTGAGTTAGGTGTGGACTAGGTAACTTCAAAAGACTGGGGAAACACTAGAAGGATGCTGTATTTAGATTGCTTTGAAGTGTCTTTAAATTCTAGCTTCACTTAAAAAATTGAACATGGAAATGAGTGACTGTCATTTGTACAAGACTGACAGTGGCCCTGACCGTACGGCAGAACACCGGTAAACGAGTGTCTGTGTTGTAAATCGAAATGCACAAGGTATGTCTGTGTCATTAAAAACCGTTCTTCAGGGAGGTGGGCGCAGCTCAGCAGGGGTGTGGGCTTAGACGGCACGAGGGCCCGGGTTCAGTCCCCAGTACCTCCATTAAAAAAAGTTCTTCACATTAACCTATTTTTCCAATCAGCTCGACCAGATGCTGTCAGATAAGAGGGCTTTGCATCTACCCAGCATGTTTCTTCAGGGGCGCTGGTAACATTCTGCTCCCTGACTCCCAGCTTGTGAAGCCTCGCTGAGCTGGATGCTGACGACGCGCGCAGCTGTCTGCCTGCTGCACCCTCACAACGGCAAGTTTAGGAAGCCATGCAGGTGACTCGTTCCTTTGCCTCACGTTCTCACTCGGCACTGTGCTTACCAGGGTCCAGAGCGCGGTGGAACGGCAGGGCTGGGTCCAGATGTGTGGGGAGGTGGCTGCGATACACCTCCCCGGGCGCGCCGGCCCTGTGGTGGGGCTCGAAGGGGCTGTGGCTGACTGCGGGGTCCACCCCCGGCACCGGGGACTTGGCGGCGATGCTCTCCCTCTGGGTGGGCGTCAGGGTCGATTTTCTCTCGTGACTGCTGGACTTGCTAGAAGAAATCGTAACTGGAAGAGAAATAGCCACCACCACAAATTCTTACGCAAACTCACTGCGTGTGACAGTGTTTATCTGTTTCTCAAGCATTCAAATACAGACCACATCCACGTAACAGCCGACCTTCTCCTTCCACTAAACATTCAACACTCAACATGCAAACGTGAAGAACTGGTGGAAGCCTCTGCGACTCGGAGACGGCCCGCTCCGGGATCCCAGCACCAGGCTTCGCCACCGAATGTTCTCCAAGACGGAGAAGGACACGCAGCACTCTCCTGTAACCCCCGACAGGGACGGGGCGGGACGCGCCATCGGGGGCTCTGCTCAGCACGGGGAGCCTGCTTTCCACATGACCCAGTATCCTCAAGTCTCCGGACCCCACGTGCGCCGACCCCGCGCCCTCTCTGCCCGCCTTCCCCCTCTTGCTGGGTCCCGCTGCTCCCTGGCTCTGTCCTTCCTCAAAGATGCTCGTCACCAACCAGCATCAACCCCTCCCTGCTCCAGCCTCTCCGTTCTCCCTGACGTGACTCAGAGGTCAGGTCGTCCACCCGCCCCCCCACTGCTTTAACAACTGCGGTAAAACACACAGGACACAGAATTTAGTTTCAGCCATTTCAGAGCATACACTTCCGTGACACACACACACAGTGTTGTGCAGCCATCCCCACTGGCTAACTGTTAGTATTTTGATAGTATCAACTTCCCCACAATCAAACCTTCCTGTCAAAACCAAGAGATCACGCTGTTTCCTCACAGCCCCTCACGCCGCAGCCTGCTCAAACGCGGAGCACCCTGCCCTCTGCAGGGAGGTCCTTCTCCTCCAAAACCAGAGCCCGCTGGCCTGGGTTCCCCCTACCCCTGAGCGGGCGCTGCCTCCCCCTCCCTCTCCGCCCCAGAGTCCTGCCCAGGACCCCGCACAGAAGCCCCTGATAAGGACTGCAGTACAGCTTCAAATGATAAGTGGAAAGATTTTTAAGGGCCTCAGATTATTTCCGGGACACCTGGTAAAAATCCACGCCCTTCTCCTCAGTGACGTCCCCGCCGGCAGCACAAAGCTGGGGGAGGAGCAGGGTCACGGTGAGGATGGCAGCAACACCAGCAACCAGAGTGCACGCTGCCAAGCCCTTCCTGCACGCCAGCGCTGCCCTCCTACAGCCCTCCTCGCAACAGTCCAGCAAGGTGAGGCCGCCTCTCACATCGCCACTGCACGACGAGGAAGCCACAGCACAGGGAAGTGAAGCGACTTGTCCACGTCAACGCAGTACGAAGAACCTTGATTCAAGGCTCAGCAGTCTCGCTCCATGGCCTAACTCCACCAGCGCACCAGACTGCACCGCAAGCCCGGGTCAAGACGGGCCTCCAGAAAACCCCAAAGGAATGGATGAAAACCCTCTCCAAGCATTTCTTACTCTAGAGCATTTCTGGACTGCACCACACCCTGCACTTAATTATAATATTAGGTACATGACCTACATTATGGCTCCTCTCAACCTGGGAGGTAGCCAGCCTTCCCCGCCCGAGGGGGTGTCAGGCACAGCCTGCACGTGTCACCTGCTGAGCTGACACTCAGACACATGCCGCCTGCAGAGGGGGGACGAGCACCGTGACAGGGGTCGGACAGGGACGGGGCGAGACGCACCATCGGGGGCTCTGCTCAGCATGGGGGAGCCTCTGGACACGGTGCTGGCGTAACTGCCGGGCGTGCGCCTTGCGCTGGCGTCCTCATAAAGCCCTGGGCTCAGCTGCGCTTTGGGGGCCTCGTGCAGCGTGGACCGCAGGACCGAGGGGCCGGAGCTCACCACCGACGTGTGCCGGGAGCGCACGGGCTCCCCCGCCTTCATGTCCTCGTACTTGCCCCGCTCGGCCGCTTTCACGTTCTCTGGCATGATTTCCAGCGGAGGCATCCCACGCGGCAGCTTGCTAGGCCCCGTGATCAAGGACTTGACGTTGTGTTTGATGGCAGACGGACCCGAGCTGCTGTCAAACTTGATGGGGGTACCCTAGGGGAGAGACAAGCGTCACGGTAGCCCAGGCAGGGCCACGTCTGGGTCCCAGTGACCTTGGCCGGCGTGCACCCAGCCTGTGCGACCCCACCCGCACGACGTGCCCCCACACTCCTACACGGGGAAGGCTAAGGAGAAAGCATACACACACCTGCGCGTTTGTTCCACGAGCCCTACCGTCTGAAGCACGACTTACCATCACAACGTCACACGTTGGAACCGCCCCCCCCAGATGCCGGGGCGGGTACCTGGGAGATGGAGCCCTCGACGATGGGCCTGGTGCCCGGGACCCCCTCTGGGGTCTTCCGGCTCTCCGGAGCAGCCGCGTCCTGCCGCGGGATCTCATGCACCGAGCGCCCCATCTCTTTGATGGTGGTGATGCCGTCGTAAGGCTTCCCTTTGCTGATGGCGCCTTCGAACGCACGAATGGGCGGGCTCTCCCGTTTAATCTGCTTGGGGTACTTAAGGCCGTCTTCAAAGCTCTCAGTGGTCGCTCTTGGTGTGCCTTCAAGAAAGGATTCCAGAAACACACTCATTAAAATAATGCCACTGAACTGGGCACTAAAAACTTCAGTCAGTTCTGTCCTATGTAATTTACTGCAGTGCAAGAACTCAGTGCCCTGCCATCCTGCAGCTTCTAATCAGCCTCTCCTCACAGCAGCCTCTCCGAGAAACACTCATCGGGCGTTATCTTTCCAGGGCTGCCCAAGAGTTAAGACACTGTTCACCAGTCCCAGGATGGCTCTCACACAATGAAGGAGTCTCTGCAGTCAGAGATTAGGTAACTGTCATCTTCAAATAGACACGTAGCTCAGAGAAGAGTTACAGTCGGCACTCAAATATCTAGTATTTCAAAAGGGAAAATACCTTAAAAACAGGCCTTGTGCAGGGCAAGTTCATGCCGAACCACGGTGCCCGTGAGGCAGCCGTGAAGGCAGGCGAGCGAGCGGAAGGCTTACCCTGCATTATGGACCCAGACAGCACAGTCCTCTCCTTGAGGTCCGCGTGAGGGCTCCCCCTGGGCAGCGCCCGGCATATCAGCCCTTCCAAACGAGAAAGCGGTCCAGGTGTTAGACACACGTGCAGGTCAGTTCACGTCCTCGTCACACACGTCACGCACGTCACGC